ACCCCCACCTCCCCCTAATAGCTAAGAGTCTTGCCCAAGAATACAACACATTGACCCTGTCAAGTCTCGACCCCAGACCTCTCCTCGACCCGGAGTCCAGTGCTCTGACCATAAGACTACTGTCTTTCTTCCAAAAATTTCAAAATCTTATGATCATTTCCTAATCTCTTACCACCACAATTGCCCCATTTCTTATCTCGATCAAAGTTGGGTGTTATAGCACACCATGGTCGATTGTGATTACTTCTTGTACAACTATTGTAACGACGTCCTTTGTAGACGAACGGGAATGCACAGCAGTAGCGTGAGGTAGTTCTTCTTCGGCATGAACCTGGGGAGAAACAAATTTCTATAAATTAACACAAAATATTTTATTCCAATGTGGCACTGTCTTTTAACCCTTTACACCCCAACATCAGTATGCATATTCTCCATACTGTTCTCTTTACATTTCCTAAGGTGCTGACAAAGTGAATTTGTTTAACAATCGAGAGCTTCATTAGTTGATCATTTCCTTTATTCTCCTGACCTTAAAAGAGTGATTCAGGGGTGACATTGTCAGGAGAAATTAGATGCTAGTCACTCTTGGGGGCTAAAGGATTAATCTCTTTTACATGTGTATACACAGTGGAGAAAGACAACGCATAGTCAGGATGCTTCCAATCTAAACCGCAGTACCGTTATTTGTATCGTTAATTTCTATCGGATTTCTTTAATTGACTCGCTTAAGAACTATGTTCAAGCATACGCACATAAACAGACGACGTGGTTACCCATAACTCACCGTATACTCTGTACACATCATTAGCCCACGGTCCTCCCTTTCCATTCCTACACCGATTGGATCGTCCATACTTTCCGTAAGTCACGTGAGCTCTTGGACCAGTAGCGCACCATCCCTGATGTTGAACAGCAAAAGCTCTGTAGCCAAACCTCAGAGCAACCAGGGCGCAACGTTTGATGGCTTCCTTTCTTCTTCGATAATATCCCTTCACTATTGGGTAACGACCGTCCACTCCTGGAATAGCACGACGACCAGTGTCTTTGAAGCATCCAATTGGCTTGACTATTGAAGTAAGGTATGAATCAGCAGAGCATCAAATAAACTGGATTTTTTAAAATATCTATATACCGAAACAATCCTTGAGAGAGAAGTCTGTTCTTTTAATGAACATTTGTTGCGTATTTGGATGACACGCTTGCTTATTGTCATCTAATGAATACCTTAAAGTGCAGATACTGAAATGATCCGAACGAAGCCGTATGTTGAAAGCGAGGCCTGGGCTTTTCTCTTCCCTGTAAAGGCATTTGGCACTAAAACGCATTTCATAGCGTCGTTCAGTTTTAAACGTATGTATTTTTGAAGTAAAATTAAGTTGCATACGTACCTCGCACCCCTACAGTCACTCGTATTGGCTGACCTGTGAGAGAGATGAGGAATATTATTCGACATGAGACAGACGTACGAAGACGTACCTTGAAAAAGCCAAAGAGACAAAAGAAAGAGAAAATAGGAAAAAAGGAAAACGGGATCAGGGAAAGAGAGACAGAGAGAGTCT